CATTGATTTTTCCAGACTGCTCCCAAAGCCCTTAAGGTTTTTTATTGAGTGGGAATCAGGCATGTGCTTGTGCTTTTTCATATATTTCCATGCTATCTGCGTTGTTTAGTTTGCGGCTTCCTCATTGAAACATGAAGCTGAATACCGGGAACAGTGGTACCCATATCGTTATTGCTACTATTGTTATCATTACCCTAAGGCCCCATAGTAGTTCCTTTTTGGGGTTCATATTTAGAATCCTATAAGGGCCCTAAACCCAAAACCCCAAACCGTCCCAAAACGGAGCTACTATGCGGCCTTAGGGTAGGGAGATACCAGGGAACCTGGACAACTGGGAGTGTAAGGCAATGAGGACCAGCCCACCTTCCTTGCACTGCTGATCCGAAACCCTTAACCCCAAAACCCCGAAACCTCTATTCCCCAAATTCCCAAAAGCCTAAACCCTAAACCCCTAAACCCTAAGCCCTAAACCCCTAAACTCCTAAACCCCTATTCCCGAAACCCTAAACCCCTGAACCCCTATTCCCTAAGCCCCTAAACCCTGAACCCTAAACCGTACATACCTACGAGAAGCGCTCGGATCTTCGTAGCAGAGTAGGTAACCTTTAACGGTTCTTCGGGTACTATCATTTAAGGTTTAGGGTTTAGGGATCCCTAGGGACTTGTCGGACTTGCTTTAGGACTAGACTCCTGCCGGTCAAGCCCCGACAGATAATAGACTCTCTCAACTTTGGGCAACTCTTCATATTAGGGTCCCTTTTAGGTCCCCAAAAGTACGGCACCGTTGTAAACAGGAATCCAAAGGGACCCAAATTGAGAGAGCTACCCACTTCCAGCGCGGCTTGTGATGTTGATTTCCTTATTAATGCCGTACTTCCTACGACCTTACTTTCACTCTGAATCTCCATTTCCCTGAAGTCCAGTTCCAATGCCGCAGGCGCTGGCCAGAAAGCGGAGGCACGCTCGCGGAAGTGTCGTTCCAGATTATTCTGCAAAGTTCGAAATTCCCAGCAGTACCCTTTTGCCCTTAGGTTTCGGGTTTAGGGTGCAAGATTTTAGGGTTTAGGGGACTAGGGGTTTAGGGGGCTTAAGACCCAAAGGGTCCAAGTAATAGAGTACCCAGAGGGTCCATCTACACTACCATTATGGTATTAGGTCCTCGAAACCATAATGGGGATGGTCTTTTGGGAACTGAATCCATACCAGTAGTTTATATGGACCCTCTGGGGTATGTACTTTTGGGGCCCCCTAAACCCTAAACCCTACCATGATGATACTTGGACCCTTTGGGTAGTAGTTGGTGCTCTTGACAGGAGTCGTCAGTGACACTGCTTCGCGGCTGGACTGGGAGCTGGTGATACGCGAGGCAGGTCGGGTTCAGCGTTTGTTGGTTTTGAGGTCATGGCCTCGGCCTAGTTAAGAAACAACCCTATGGGTGGTTGTCAAAATTATCGTCCCTTTTCGGGTCCCTATTAAAATACGGCACCTATAATTTAGGGCACTCAAAAAGAATAAGGCTCAAACTAGCCCAAAAGCCTTATATAGTATGGTCTTTGGGCCCAAAAGGCTTGAAATATGAGTCCTTAAAGCCTAAGGGTAAGAGTAAACCTTATAAGCCCTAACCCCATTATCTAAGCTGATGGTGGCCAGGACTCATCTTTTCATGGGCAGTTGTCCGAGGGGTCCAAGGGTACATTAATTGTGGTGACAAGTCCCAAATAGGGACTGCATGGCTTCACTGTCGCCATAACAATCTGCGCGGACCCTCTTGTGATGATACTGCGTTTGGTTTGCTTGCAACATAGAGATCTGCATATGTTTGTGATAATTAATACCACCGGTTAACCCCTTAATGCCACTTTATGATTGACTTTATATTGAAACCACCAAAACCGTCGATTTGTTCAGGCCTCGAAGCTAAACCACTCAAAACCTTGAAAACACTACATAAGAGTACCATAGTACCTTTCTGCAAGCCTCTGGCAGTCCCATCTTGTGCCAAGCCAGTATAGGATCTCCATTGTAGCTGTTTGCGGTTTAACCAGTTCTAGAGTAAGGATCCAAAAATGTAAGCCTGAAAAGGATCGACACTTGAGATTGTAACTTCACGAATTTCCAAGAGCTCCAAGGCGTCCGCACCGGTCAATCCAGAGACGATCTGTGGTTCCTCCTGGACATTCGAATTTCGGTCCTACACGAACGAAGAGGAGGGGTTCCAGGATTCAATCTTGGGGTTTCAGGTCTGCAAAAGCTTACTGTAGGTTTTAGGTTTTAGGTTTAGGATTAAGGGTTTGCGGATCGGTTTTGATATTTAGTTGGGTTTACGGTTTAGGGTATAAGCCGTCTAGGGTTTAGGGTATCGGGCCAGGAGGGGCCCAAAAAGTCCCCTGTATCTTGGGGTTACCCGTCTATGGGCGCTAGCAGGCCTAACATGACATTTGCGGACCAGTAGCCCCTACTGTAGGTAATTAGGCTCCTGGGGTGTTCGGTCTTGTTTGCGTTAGACGTGTTGATGACAGTGCATCAATGTGGTGCCCGAATCCAAGGTTAAAGGAGGGACCCTTAATAAGGACCCCTAGGTATACACCCTTAATATAGCTATTACATACCCATTATATAGCCCATTATAGGGTAGGGGTCCCCATTAAGGGTCCCTCCTTTTCCCCTTTGACCGAAGCTTGCAGCATAGGTGGACCAGGCTGAGCCCTACGGTTGATGATGTATATCTTGCATTACCCATAATAAGGAATGTACTATAATTCCCAGAGTTTAGGGCCCTTAAGGTAATGCAGGATTTACATCATCAACCGTAGTTCGTGATCAAATTGATGGTGTCGCATTTCGCTTTTGGGTTGCAGAGCTTTAGGGCTTTGGGCCACCTTCGAATTTCTTCGCCCAACCCATGTTAAGTAGGGCTTATGCTGATATTATGGGGATGCGTAGTAGAACTCCTACCTCATGTTAGTATGGTTTAAAGAGACTGAGACAGCACTCGAACACCCTGACCATAAGAAGGCATCACTAAGTCCCTAACGCGAGCTGTTAGGTATTCTTGTCATTTAATATAACAAACTCCAGGGGTCATGAGCAAATTGTGTCTGTATTTGGGTTTACGGGCGACCGAGTTACAATGTTAAGACAGTACTATAGCCCCCTAAGCCCTAGACTTGCCTAGGGGTCGGAACATTTGGTAACTTACCCAGTGGGTCCGTGTCGCTGAGTGTAAGCACATTCGGGGCCATGTTCGTGCATGGAGCATGTTGCCCTTATGTCTCTGAATACAAAGACATTGGCCCATAGGCTTGAGGATGGATACAGGACCCTGTAGGTGCAGGGACTGACTATGTGTTACATCGACCACGACACCAGGAAATCCCACACATCGTGACGACAGCGACGACTGCCCCCCCAATCCTAAGTTGCTTTCCCTGTAGATCGCAATGAAATGGCCAGCTCGTTCAGGGATGTATCTTTTCGCGGTTGCTTCAACGAGGGGTTGCTACTGCTACCGCAGCATGGTTGTCATGACTGCTTTGCCGACGGTGCCGCACTAAATCCTCGTGATCGAATATACATTGGCAGCTGGCAGCTTTCCAGGAGTAGCTATGGATGGCTATTGCACTGCTTCGTCTCATCGTGCATCTGCATCTGGTGCTTCTCAAATGTTTCTGCGACACGACGAAGTCGACGAGCGAGGTTCCAAGCCGACGGCCATACCTTACTTTGCGGATATTACTTATGGTAGCCTATGTCTAGCAGTTTTCACCCTAGTGAATTTATGCCACCCAGGCACAGAAGCCTCCAAAGTCTTAATGGCACGGAGCATTTTGCTGAAAGAATAACGGCGGTTCAGGATCAGCTTCAATGCATCCTTGCTTCTGAAATGAGCTGGGCCGCCATTGCCGGATTCGGCTCTAGAGCTTCTTTTCCCCATCAGTCGCAGCTAGATGTTTTGATAGGAACAGCAGCAGCTGCAACAGAAAAGCTTTCATAATGCGAGCACCTCCAAATAAGTAGTTATAACATGTGACTACATACCGGAAACCTCACAAGAGTCAGCATCGTAATATAATTGGGCAGCGGGCAGGAGCAGTAGTCTTTAAGCATGCGTTTGCTTTAGGGGCTTTGGGAGGCCTGTAATGGCTCATGATTATTTAAGGGATCCTGCAAGGGGCTGGGTTTAGAGATTAGGGCTTAGGGGTTTAGGATTCGTGGTCAAAAGTCTTGCGTCACAGACTCCGAAACACATCACACGGACCCTAAGCCTTACCTGCAGCTGTACGTGGTTTTGAGTGTACGTAATTAGATGCTATGCGAGCTCGAAGCTCAGAAACCTGACCAGCAACAACCACTATTGAGGAATATCAACGAACCCCAAACATCCACACATAGGACCTTGGTTGCAATAGAGCTTGAGGTTGCCTTCGGCTCAGCATTCGGAACATTGAGCTTCTTGGGATCCATTCCAAGAGAGCCTCTAGATCTATTATAGGGTTCAGGGGCTTAGGGCTTAGGGGCCAAGGCGGGGGGGCTGAATAGAAAGTATTCGGACTCGTAGTCGTTCGGCTCTGATGTGTGTTCACTGATAACCCTTTTATTCCCACTTCTACCTCGAATCCCGCTTCGGAGATATCCCTAGAATGTGTCCAAGGCTCAGGGCACCAAGGGTCCAGGGGATTAAGAAATCTTAGCAGGAAGAGTTCGGGCCTACAGTCGCGGATTGCTCTAATAAATACTGCCATGCCAACGTTATAAGCATTGGGGATTGGGGTTTTGATCTTTAAATAAAGTTTGGGGTCCTCTGCTTCCATGGCGTTTTGGCGGGTGCGGCCACATCGACGGCGTTGTCGAGGCACACATGTTAATTTCGACATGATGAGGGAATACCCTCATCGGGCATAGAATTAAACGGATCGAGCTTACAGCTGCCTTGCCTGTTATAGCTCTACAGCTACGACAACCTTTCAGGGCTAGTCTTAGAGCTTGCAAGCACGAAACCTTCAGCGGCTTCCGGTACCCTTTGAGTAGCAGAGCTGAAGATATACACGGGCCAAAGCCATCTCCTCGACAGATCTTTTGTGGCAAGCCTGAGCAATTCCTTGGCCAGCATCCCATACATGATTCGCGCTGCTGCCGACAGGTGTCAGTTGCAAGTGTCCAATACACAACGGCCAAGACCCGTACTCACCACAGACCCAACCATATCCTCCTGCCTGAAGCAGTGATAGGTTCGCGGGTTTATGCCTTGGATTGCAATAAAAGTCACATATACCCTAGAAGGTGGACTGATCATGCAATCAAGCGAGAAGTAAGGATATTGTGTCGACAAGTTACGGTGCTTCACAGCCCAGAGTGCCATCTCCTGCCATCCCTGGAGTACAAGTTGATTGACTGAAACCTGCTTTAATTAATTTTAGAACAATCGGAGCTGGATCTGAGAGCGTGGCATGAAACTTTGGTTTCACTGGAAACAGACACATCTTGTCGTTCACAGCTTGCCGTGCCAGCTGTAGGTAGGCATCCAAGGAGCAATCCTCAATTGGAAAAGCACTCCGATCGTTCTTTCAAAGTCTACATGCTCTTTCTAGAACTTGACGACACTCCGAAGCCAAGAAGCACATGCACACTGAAGCGAGCTGGCTTCCTCGACCGACAGGTAGCGGGGACAGCGCTCCGTCACGTTGAACCAGTTCGCAAGGTGCCACCTGGGATTCAGGAGTCCAAAGTCTAGAATTCGTAATACGTTTGCATGGGGCTTATGGGTTTCTTGGCTATTAATATAAGGATTGCTTAGGAGTATAATATATATACAATACCGTAGTGTCTGGAGGTTCTAGTATCGTACATGTGTACATGTTGTAGCTACGGGTATGTTGGGTTTGAGGGATTTGTGTTCTCATGGGTCGTTTGCTGGTGGCTGAGGGCTTTGGGGATGTATATGAGTTACAGGGATACTTCGAAACTCGAAATACTAAATGATTTCAGGGTCACCTGGATGCTCTTTCAAGCTACCAAGCAATATACACCTGCCCTGGGACCTAAATCGACGTAACTCAGATGTTGTGATCAATATTTAAGCCGATGCACAAGGAGGCGGCAAGGAGCTGCTGCGATTCCGTTTCCATATGCTGCACAGCTTTGTTGGCCAGCCATGCAACCACGACTCGTCCCTGCAAGCATAGGGGTCACGAGTCACTAGCTTCAGTAGTTTATGATTAAAGCATAGGACCAATCGTGTTACCACACCATACCAGCTGAGTTGCATTGTAAGCTTTGCACTGGAAAGTGGGGTACCGGTCGAGGTTGGAAATCTTGAAGCCCGGCTGGCTGTGACTGAGTGTTTGATTCCATCAAGCAACATATGCACATATGCGATTTTACCTAGCTACTGACACACTGGACAGGACTCGAAGTCAAGGTGCGGGATTCGATGGGTTTTGCTCCAGGCATCAAACTCGGTAAAAGCAGCCTTAAGCTGTTCCTCATCCGAGCCATGGCCCCAAAGCTTGTCACCCAACATCAGTCGAAGACCCGAGCCGAGGAGGAACTGAACCAGCCCCAAGTTAAGCGTATGCATGCCGCACCATCGGATGTACTCCGGAGAGAAGTTCTTCATGCGTAGCAAGGAGCCTAAATGCGAACCCCAGCTTATTATATATAGTATATTCATGTGGGGGCTCTAGGGTGTCAGGGACCGGGCTTAGAAGCTTATTCGGTTATAGCTGTATATTGGGGCCTCAGAATCTAGCCTGGAGGATCCTAATCCCATAAACCCCTAGCTAGAGAAACCCCTTTTTATGCAGCTGGTCACACTCCGACTTGCGGCAGGCGTGCTCTTCGAAGTTGGCTTGGTCTCGCCGCTGTGCAAGGTTGCCCGGCACGGAAGCATAGTTGCTTTTGTGGGCTTCGCAGTGATGGCAAACGTAATTGCAGCTCCACCCCACTTTCAGCGCCAGCCACTCCTGAAGGGTATAACATGTACTAGTATTAGTTGGGTCCCAATATGTAGTAACAATTAATAATAATGTTCTTCTTCTTATATTATTATAATATATATATGGGTATATTTATTGTTTCTTCATTGAGGCCTTCCTTCGATCTTGGGTAACCGATGGGTTTTTAGGGTGCTGTTGCATATAGGTTTAGCCCACGGGAATAACGATGTTTTTTGGGGTGGTTTACAATATCTGAGGTTGGTTCAGGGTCTTGTGATTTGATGATTTCAATGTAGAGGGTGGTTAGATATAGTGCAATTGCAAGGGTTGTCTTGCAGGAATTAGGTAGTCTAATTATATCCAAGTATACGTAGTGTTTTCGTAGAGACAAATAAATTAAATAGATTACGGGAGGAGTTCTGGCCAACGGATACAGCAACAAGACTCTACATCTGTCCCAGGTCAAGGGGGTGCAAAGGGGGAGAGGGGTGGCAGAATGTGCCACCCCTCTCTCCCTTTGCACCCTCTTTGCACTTGTGGCCGCCGCCGAGCAGAGGTGGAGGCATGCTTGGGATTGTATGGTTTGAGATACAGGTAGATGCCTAATTAGGGACTCGGGCTTGTTCGACTTTGTTCATATGTCGGGCCTTGTGCCACTTCCAATCTCCTTGATATTGGACCACTGCAGCGAAAACACGTTTTCGCTCGCCACTCGGGGTCTCCACCATGACACCCTGCTCAAAGAGGATGTTGAAAGAAGTCACCACCTGCAGAATTTTGGGAAAGCTATTTTCCATCTTGGCTTCCATCATACATGGTTTGTGCAAATGTCGACTAGTCAAATCCCAAAGTGCCTCCTCCATGAAAGTGTTCAGGGTGCCGGGCCCGGCGCTTTGCCCCTTCAGGGATAGGTAGCTGTACATCAAACCTTTAGCTAATATTGTATATAGCTTTGGGTTTGGAGTTCTGGTTGCAGTGCCGGCCGTGGTGGCTTAATAAAAACAGTTGCCATCTGATGGGGCCTTGCTGGTGCAAATACTAGTACTAGAAGTTCAAAGCTGCTAGTCTGCTGGGACTTGGTGTTCAGATAAAATATTAAACATCGCTAGATAATAGCTTGGATTCTCCCACCTGCTGGTAGAGAAACAGAGGCCATACGGTCTCCAAGGCATTTTTGGATGTCTCAAGCACCCTCCCAAAAGCCACAACCACAATCTTATCCTCGTGAGTCTCTGTGAATCTTGCGTCGTCACCCCAGAGATACAACGGGATGTGCGAGTCAGTGGCCCCCATGGTTGGCATGCCTGCCGTTCTAGCATGTGACCAGAACTTTGTAATCTCATCCGTTTCGCTCAGCGGAATAAGACCCTGTTTCACCAGCCAAGGAAACACCTCGTGTGGCAGCACCACAGGAAGATTCCTTGGATTACAAGACTCCAGCACTCCAGTCCGATCTAGTTTTCGCATCGAGACAAGAAACCGTTTCTTCAGCTCACCCTTTAGCATCACCGGCACTTGGATCTTGGAAACAGGAACCTGGGATGTGGCACTTGTATGTATACTGCATTACAACAAGTTCTAAGATAAGCTAAGTTGTAAGCTAAGCAAATTAAACACACAGGACCCTAAAGAGCATGTGTGCATGCATGTAAGAGACCTTGGCAGCTTTGCACTTTCGGAGCATATCCCGCTGAAAGTTGCTAGTCCATTTCCCCGAAGTTGCAATGAGCTCGCCTGCAGCTCCTCCAAGCTCCATGCCATAGCCCTGGAACTCCTGGTTCACAGCTTCAAGCATCTCGCGAGCCCCCACAAACGAAGTCACCTCGGATTGGATGCAGGCCCCGGGCAGCAGACACGGAGAAGGCCGAAGTTTCAACGTTGGGGTTATATAGAGGGGCTTGGAAGGCTAAGGTTTTCCGTATATGGTTTCGTATGTCGCGGGTAACCTGCAACTTTGATTCGTTGCTTAATTCCAAGCTTGGCCTGGGTTTCGGGGATGATGTCTGCATGTGGCTGGCACTATAGAGTACTATTCATACAAAGAGTGGGCTAGGTCGGCTAGGTATGCACTAGTGGTTACCGCTAAACTGTATAGTCGAACCTGAACCATCTAGGCCGACGGTGTTCTTTCGGCATTTAAGCATATGTTATTTGGCGCTTGCTGGGTATATGTTCTTACTACATAATAGGGTTTAGGGTTTCTGGCTAACATGCAAGCAAGTGGCCCCTTTGCCGATGCTCCGCAAGACATAGGCATGTAGAGGCGTGCTCACACACCGACCTGCGTGGGAAGCTTCCATACTAGTCCACAACTAGCTGTCTGATTAATGTTGCATTTCATTGGCGCTCCAACACTCTAGATCTGACATCAGGCAATTAAATCTGCAAGAACAATATGTAGAGAAGACGACATTCCTTTGTCCTCGCAGCACTTCAGCTGGATCGGCTTCGCTGTTCGAAAGATTTTGCACCGCAGTCAGTGCAAGCTTTAAACCGCCTATGGCTCATCGCAGCAGCAAAGTGTGGCATCTTGAGGCTGTCTACTACATTACATCTAGCTAGCTAGTTAGCCGGCTTGTGATATGTAACCCGGTTGTAGAAGCACTAGCCCTAAAGCCCCGAACCCTATAACCCTCAAGCCCTAAAGCTCTGGATGTTTGCCGGATATACTCAGGACAAAATCTGCTTTCATATTCAGTTAACAGCAAACTGCCACATCCCGCTTGAATGGCCATGGCACAAGACTCAGTGCCAAAATTCCTACTGGTAGGCTACCTTGAAGAAGGTCGATAGCCTACCCATCTTCAGAAGCACTCTTGAGCAGGCAGTGACACCTGCAGCTGATCAGCGTCCCTTGGCAGCCCGGCCCTTGGCCTTCGCTTTGGCTTCCTTCGGCGGGGCCTGGGACACATGTAGATGCAAGCACTCATGAGTAAGCCGCATAGCATGCTTAGTTAAAGCCTAGGAACTGTTGCCGTTTTCACAGCTTTAACCTTCCCGTTCAGCATCACGAATGCACTCTCCACTTCTCGGAGAATCTCGTCATACACGGCTCTCTCGGGACCCACCTCAGATGTTCTGAAGGAGGAATGGTTACAAGACGAGCTGACAGGATTGGTAAAACATTCCATCATTAAAGTCTACAACCAGGGCACAATCTCAGCATCTTCAAGCTTTCGTGCAAACCACGTCTCGAGCTTAGCCCGAGCCTGTTCCACCGACTGCTTGCCCTCTTCGAGCTCCTGCGTGTAGCCGTCCCTCATCTTCTCAGACCTGAAGCAAGAAGTGGATTATATTAATCGAAAAGGACCCTATGTTGGAGACATAATATTAACAATTAATTCATAATATATTACTTAATTAATATGGTTAATATTATGTCTCGAACATAGGGTCCTTTTCGAAGTCTGGAGAGTTTCAGCTCAGGGGGTCACAGTTTGTACGGTCGGACAGGGGTGTTTATATTGGAGGGTTATTACAACGGCTAGCACGGACTTCACTGGGTGTACATGGGAGATCAGTGCGAGTTACGAGTTATTATTGCAGGTTGCAGGGTTTGGGCTCTAGGCTTTTAGCTTAACAGAACAAGGCCAGGGACTTTGGCATACCGATTTTATTTACGTGTACAATTGAAGGCCAGTTTGTTACACGTCGTTAATCACATTTGTGAGAGATAAAGGCCACAGGAAGCTACAAATGACAGCCGAAAGAAACATAGTGTGATCATCAAGGATGGCTACATTCAGGGGGCCAATCAAGCAAACTAGCTACTGACAACACGATCCTTCCAAGCTGAGGGGCATCTGCGTGGCAGCAGGCAGCTCGGCAGCCAGAACACGGGCTTCGGTTAGCTTCGATGAGATTTGGGAGAGCTTCGCCGTGGCGGACTTTCGCAAAGAGGTTTTGCCTTTGGATTTCCCCTTTCCTGAAAGACTGCTCTGCTCTTGGCCTTGACCACCGGGGGTGCCTGGCGGGGCGGGTGGCATCTTGGCAGGCACGGGCATCACCGAGTAGGACGAGCTGGCCGGAGCTCCCGGCTGGTGGTAGCTTCCCCTTAGCTATAGTGCAGCAATCAAGCAACAAGCAGCAGAGACCTATGTGTCCAAACTATTTTTTCTGGGCCCAAATCCTGGTATACATTATTTAGTACAATATATGTATATTTATGATGGAGTACAGCCAGCAGTAGTACAGTGGCCCGGTAGTAAGCCTAGGTGTTGAAAGTCATAAAGGATCCTATAATGACTCCACCCCGTAGAGGAATAGGCTTATCCGAAATCCATCCAACATCATGTAATAACCTGAAATTAGAAAGTCGCGGCACACAAGAGCCCTTGTAGCATCAGCATCCAGAGTGCCCTCGGCCCTGAACGAGTGCTCCTGCGTGCTCGTCTCGTCGTCCTCGAACTCCATGGAGTCGTAGACTTTGAAGCACTCCCACTCCTGCTTAGGCAAGGCTCTGTACAGTTACATGTGTGGGCTCATGTTGACGTTAGCATACACCACGACCTATACACCATAAACTCGAAACCCCTCCCAGTTTAGGATGTAGACTTGTTGCATAATATTTGGGTTGGGGTAGGAGAACATGTCTACGAAATAATTATTATAGAGTAGCTTGCGATCATTATACTGCATTATACGTATGTACATGTACACATATATATGCACCCATGTCCTCGCTCTCCCCCATCTCCGGATGCGGCCACCACCATTCGGACCCCAACTCCTTTTTCCGTTCACGGATTGCCTTGGCACTGGCACTGCCGTAGAGCGCCTTCAGGTCCCGAAACGTTTTCATAACGTATTTTCCGCGGCGTCGTTGTGTTTTGGAGAGCTTGGCGTTAAAGACAATGCTTGAGTTGTCCCAGTTTTCGGCAGCCTGGACCCACTCTTCGAAGAGTCGCGAAATGATTGCCCGATCTCAGATGTGATGCTCTAGAGTCCCCCTACATAATTACAGCCTCACATATTGGACATGCAACCCTAGAGGAGACAAAAGGCTGTACTTATTCGTGATTCACATCAGGTGGCTGTACCGCTTGCCCTTGGCCGCCTCGAGCACAGGCTCCGGGCAAAGCGGGCCTTGCATCAACAGTCGGTGTTAAGCCGATCTTGGTTGCACTTGGGCTAGGCTTCCAGGATTGCATCATCTGCTGGTAATATGCTGTTGTTGCTGGCATAGCGGGGTACATAGCGGTTTGGGATACCACATACTACTCCGAGGTGGCTAGCATACAAACATTACTTGCAAGTACGATAGCTGATAGCTGATAATGCATAAATCACCAGTTCTTTCAAGGCACTCTCGAAGCTCCGATTGAACCTCATCCGCATGTTGTGGGCAAGCCTGCGATCCTGCTCCTCCGGGGTTTCGTAGCTGCCGTCGGCCCGTTGCAGCAGCAAGCCGTACTGCATCATCTCTTTGAGGGTGTCTGCCTGTACAAGGGTTTTGGCTGGTTGTACACTTCTAAGTTAATAACATATAGTCTATGTACATTCACAAGCAGTATAATCCTGAACTATATCCAGGTACTAGTTCCTGCTAGCACTCTGAATAGGATGCAGTCTTTGGAATTTCTGTTCCAACATCTACTGCAAATACATCTTCTTCTCTTGCTGCTCCTCCTGTCTTTTGCTATAGCCACATATATGTATGTGTATATATGTATACATTATTATAGTACATATATACATTATTCCTATGTATATATATATATATCTGTATTATATTCAATTGTATAGCATCTAGCATTGTAGTCGCACCTGCACCGACAGCTATCTATCTATCTATCGATCTATCTATATATATATATATATATCTATATATATATATGTATATTTATACTGCTTCCACTACCACGACCACTAGGACGACTTCTAGTAACGATGCCTACCGTCACGACCTGAGAGCATGTAAAGCTGCTAGTGCAGTGTTACAAGCGAGCCATAGCCAAGGCTGATCTTTACATACAGATTGCAGACTGCGGTATGGTGGCCAGTGTCTCACTGATAGAATATATATAGCTAGCCACATGACCTCTCTGCCAGTACTTGGCTGGGTGTATTTTGAGTATACCATCCTTACACATAGTACTATCTTCAATCCCGAAGAGCCTCCAGCACCGTGGCGTCCAGGCGGTGAAGCCCTGTCCGCGTGAGCTGCAACTGCAGCTCCACAGCTCGATCAGGAGGGGGTGGGGGCAGCATTCCACGTTGAGGTCGCTCCTCCTGCTAAGCATTAAATCCCAGACCTTATTGTTTCGATATTGACGTACAGAGAGGTTTATGCACATACATGCCAAATAACCCCTAAGTTGTGTTGACAGACTGTAGCTGTGATGGTATTTATGTACTAATGTACATGTACATGCTCATACACGGGTATGTATGTTCACAGCATGGTACATGTACATGTGTGCACACCATGTACTATTTATTAAGAAAAATATATATGCATATATTGGTGTGTGTATATATCTCTATCTATCTATCTATCTATCTATCTATATATATATATATACGACCATGAGCACTTGACTTGCTAGTATGCTATCTACATAGAACATACGGGCATGCATGTCCACACACTCCATGTTCCCAACCCTTTCCTTGGGGGTGGCCGCCACAGCAGAGCAGACATCCATGGGCGATGCCTGGGTCGTGCCCCCAGTCCCAGCCGCAGCACCACAGCCTGACAATGCCAGGCTTTCCATGTGCTGCTCCACCTGCAGCATCATCGCTGCAACAACCTCATCCTCGCTCTTTGGTCGGTCCCGATCATACAAAGAGCGGGCAAGCCTCAACAGGCTTGCCACTGTCGCCTCTGCCTTCTGCACAGCCTCATTGATCTGTTCATCTGCGGCTGCAAGCTGGCGCACACCTTCATCCTGGATCCCCTTTTTCCATGCTGCCATCTTGGATGTGATGGCGCTGCTGTGGGACGAAACCCCTGCGAGGCCCGTTTGCACAACTTGTGCGAGGGCCTTGGCCACAGCTTGCTCCACGTGCTCCATCTTCACCTTGTTCTGCTGACGTAGGGCCTCCCTAGTCTTCACCAATGAGCACACGGTTCCCCAATCATCAATGCTCTTCCTCGCGACGTTGCTAAACTCATCGTCACCTGGGCCTGGATGGACGACCTCCACGGCCTGCATCTCCCTGATCCAATCCACCACCAGATCAGCCAGGTCGAGCTTGCTTTGCGAATCATTCTCATCTGCACCATCACCGAAAGCAGTAAACAGCTTGTTCTGCAGCACAAGGGCTTGCTCCGGCAGGAACACTGGCCCTGAGGGCGTCACAGGGGTGTCCATCAGCATGGAGTCCAGCGTGTAGCTGCGGCCCAAGGTCAGTGTGGTCATGCTGTCGAGACGGTGCAATCCGGAGCCTGAGATAAAGCAAAATGTTGCAAAACACCACACATAGTACTCGCTTGAAAGTGCACTTGGTCAGAACATGAGAAGACATATACATATATGGTACATACATATATATATATAGATATGTACATATGATACACACGTGTCATTCTAAATTAAAAAAACACTTAACGGAATCTAGCAACCATGACTTGACACGGTCGTGAGGTCAACTGGCTTTGCCTGCTGCTCCACCACGAGAGGTTCTTGCTTGCTTTGGCCCGGCACGAGAGGTTCTTGCTTGCTTTGGCCCGGCACGAGAGGTTCTTGCTTGCTCTGCCCTGGCACGAGAGGTTCTTGCTTGCTTTGCTCCACATCGAGAGGTTCTTGCTTGCTCTGGTCCGACACGAGAGGTTCTTGCTGGCTTTGCTCCACCACCGGAGGTTCTGGGTTGCTCTGCCTTGCCGGAGGCTCTTGCTTGCCCTGCTCGACGATCAGCGGCTCCACCAAGGTATCAGCCTTGGCTTCATTCAACGGGACATCCTGCAGTGTACATCGTCATGCTACGAGTTGCGATGAAACTGCAGGGCTAGGAGCAGTCTCTAGCGTCGGCATGAGGTTGCGAGGGCTAGGCACTCCAGGCTTCTCCGGGGAAGGAGGCTTCGGTGGCACTGGGATCTCCACAGCCGCAGTGAGTCGGCAGGGTGTCACCGGAGGCGGCTGGGGGAGGCCTTCCAAAGCCATCTCTCTTGCAGACGAGGTCGCACCACTTGCTTCGGCAGGCACCGAAGCCTGCGAAGAGCCTTCCTGGAGGATCGCTGGGGAGAACTGGCGGGACCTCTTCAAGTCTGGGCTTCTCGCGGCGGGAGTCAGGGGCACCTGGTGCCCGGAAATGTCCCGGACTCGCTTGGCTACGTCTGCCAGCTCCTTCTCCATATCAAACTCCTCTCCGGATGCAGCCTCGGAACACCCACATAAACATGACATGGCACGTGTAGTACCCTTCGACTATAGTAGTATGCGTACCTTCCATGTGCCACACAACATGCGATAGCCACGTGTGCACATGCATGACTTGACATATTATTATATGTGTATATATATACACATATATATATGTATATATATATATATATATATATATATATATATATATATTAGTTACATATATTATAATAATTATATTGTATTTATATTATATACATATATATATACACACAGACTTATATATAATTACATATATATTATATATACATTAATATATATATATATATATATATATATATATATTATAAGAGCTAGTATATAATAACAACATTGCATGATATGTCTTCTGTGTGTGGTGCCTCAGGGCTTCAGGTATGCAGCAGCCGCTTCAAGGGTACAATATAGGTATAATTCGAAAGCTCGTAGCCCATGATTGAACACATAATGCTGGCTTGTAGCATTGCTTGCAGCAGCTTCAGGCACATGTCGAGACATGGCTCAGGGCAATCGTGAGCCCTTTAGCGAATTGGAAGGGGCCTCTAGAGTCACCGTGAGCCCCTATGGAATGTGGAAAAGGCCTCCAGAAGCACTGCCCCTGAGTAAAAGCAGTCGAAACCCGTGATAAACCGCCTCCTGGGAAGCCCTGGTACCTTCAACCTGGAGAAAAGCCGCTGGGAGCCAGCAAAGACAAACTAACGAAAGTCACGGCGAAGTAACGTCCCGCACGTTCCCCGCACGGACACCGAACGGAAAGTAACGCAAAGTAACGCTAAAGTAACGCCTATACTTTTGCCTTCTTCCGCAGGAAAGCACTCTGGAGCCGGCCTGCCCTGCAGATGAGGCCAGAGGTGGCTGCCACAGCAGTCCAGGCTGTCCCCGAACCCCTGTAAATTACGTAGGAATCCCATACATTCTACCATATTACGTAGATTTCCTCGAGAAACCCTAGGAATTCCTCTATTATAGGGTTTGGGGACTGTGGTTTTTGCTAGGAACCCTTGTAAATTACGTAGGAATGCAGTACATTCTACCATATTACGTAGATTTCCTCGAGAAAACCTAGGAATTCCTATATATCCCTAAGGGTCCATGTACTCATATGGTATAGACATTGGCCTTGAAGTACTCCCTATATAGGTACATTGGGCCCAAGATATATGTTATATATGCACATGGACCCTTAGGGTATTAAGGTTTGGGGAGTGTGTTTTTTTGCTAGGAACCCCTGTAATCTACGTAGGAATGCAGTACATTCTACCACATTACGTCGATTTCCTCGAGAAAACCTAGGAATTCCTGTATATTAGGGTTTGGGGAGTGTGTTTTTTTGCTAGGAACACCTGTAATCTACGTAGGAATGCAGTACATTCTACCATATTACGTCGATTTCCTCGAGAAAACCTAGGAATTCCTGTATATTAGGGTTTGGGGAGTATGGTTTTTGCTAGGAAATGAAGCACTACGGGTGGTCTTGCTTCAGAAAACCGCCCATTTCCTGCAGTTCAGGCCACTGGACTCCTGTTTTTGGTAGGAGAATCACTACTCCGAGGCTTCCTTTGATGGCTTCCGAGCTAAAACCACAGAATCCTTCGGTTTCTCCGCGTGAACACGAGGTTTCCTTAAGAGGAGTGTGGATTCTGCTAGGGAATTGATGATTCTGCTAGAATGCAATGCTTCTAGATAGAGGAGATAAGAGCGAGATTCCTAGATGCAATATTGGCCATGAGAAATCACCAATTTCCCGGCAGGGATTATTACATTAATTAGCCGGTTGCTGTATAGCGGGGATGTGGTTTTGCATATAGGAGATACGATGCTCCTAGCTGTGCTTGCACATATTATATAAGGATTCCGGAGTTTGTACGACCAGATTAGACCCCAACCCGTAAAGCCCCAAATCAGCCCATATACCACAACAAGACCCTAATATTCTCCAATCCCCTGAACTAAAAAAGAGTTCAGCCCTGACCTGCTCCGAAACCCCTGAAGTACTTAACCTCCATCAGCCCACATATACATGGCCCGACACTTATAAAGCCTGAAGCAATGCCCTGAAACCCGTGCTATGACTTATAACTTACCAACTAGACACTTACATGCCCTAGACCCTAAACCACAAATTCCCAAAGCCGAGGCCCTTAAACCCTACTCCTTCTAGATCTATAATATTATTAATTACATCTATATATTCTAGAAACTACTCTTTGGCATCCAGAGCAAGTGTCATGCACCACACGTCGACCGATCACGGAGCTTCTGGACGACCTGTTGGACGACATGAAGCAGACGGCGCGATGCGAACTGGGGCGACATCACGAGCATCCGGGTCGCGTTCCCAGCGTCGACGGCGGCTGTACTCTGCTGACAATAGCCGTCTCTTCAGCATGAAGCTGTTGCAACACTGATCGGTGTCACTTCGAGATCTGCGTGGAGGAGCATCACTGGACATCGAACCGATCAGCATGGTTCCGCTTTGCATCATGAGCAAAGACCCACCCGCCCGAAGCCCACCCCCCAGCTCACCCAGATCCTGTCATAAGTTATCAAAGCACACACCTCCACTAGGAATAGGCCTGAGGCTCCAGTCTTCCGTGGTTCAATATCGAATTGCCAATGATGCTAATGCAACCGTGAACCCTGGACCCAGATTCCACCCATAAGAATCTAGAATGCAACCCCAGGCCCACTTTGATTCCCCAGGTCTGAATCGAAGCCTGTAATACAACCGGCGGCACTAATCCGACTCTCTTTGAATTCCTAAACCCTAGGCCCCCGATACGACCCCGGCCCTAATTCTACACCCTCTAGTTATCCTAAATCCTGAACCCTAATTAATGCGACCCCGACCCCAATTCTATTTATTCGGATTCCCTGAACCCTAGACCCTAATAATACACCTGGATTCCTAAGTAACGACTGGAGCAGGTGCATCAAATCGTGTCACAGGCTCCTCGGCAACTTTACGTCTATGCTAAATATCTACCAACTGACTGATTCCAGCAGGTTCCACACCAGATCTGCAGGTGGTCCAGCAAGTAGCCACTTGTTCAAGCATGCTTATGATGTCAGGCTAGCGTAACTTCAGCTTCTAAAGCCTGCATACAAGTTCGGGCAGTTTGGGTTTTCCGCCAAGTTACAATATATATAGGTTCATCAGGATACAGATATATTGGGCATCATACCTGGGGCTCTAGGGTCTATACGGGTTTAGGAGCCATGCGTTCAGGGCAGAGGTTAGGGGGAGTCGGGTTTTAGGGTTTTGGGCCTTTAGGGATTAGGGTTCTACGTCTATAACTAGGTTTTCAATCACGAGCGTGATTAAGATTGGGGCATTGATGAGGCTAGCTTATAACACACACGTAAAGCTTCATGGTTTCGTGTGGTGCCCATTAATGCACTATCCGCCGCTGTCTCTTTCGCAAGATGCCCTAAACTTGAACTATAACCCGCACCTCCAGCCTGTCCGTTCACCTACTTCGAATGACTTGGACCCCTATTCCTCCAACACATGTTTCCATGTTGTTATTATAATATATATATATATATATATATACATACATATATCTATATATATAGAGAGAGGAACATTCCTGCATACATATATATATATATATATACATATACATAGACGGATCCTTCTGTATATATATATATATATATGTATGCAGGAATGTTCCTCTCTCTCTATTTATGTATATGTGTGTATATACATATCTACACATACATATACGTACTATAGCTATATATACATAAATATGAATAATCACCCCAGCCATAGGTATTTATGTATCCCCAGGCAAATACATTGTGTTCTCCGAATTGTAGCCCAAACCTCAAGCTTGCAATCCTAGACACTGAGACCTATTCCAGCAACGATTCCAGTATGTATACCGCAAACCCACGAACGAGCCAGCGGCAGTGCAATCTTCCAGCAAAGCAAAAATGAAGGCAGAATTAGCTATATTTGGCCTTTAGCAGAACAGAACACCAAGGCAGGAGCGGGGAGCCTCCTTAGT